TTGGAGGAGGTGTCCAAATTCCCATTCTGCAGGAGCTCCGTGGCCAGAGCCACAGTCAGAAGACCTTCAGCAGCTGGGTCTGGGATGAGTGGCCACTGAGCTTTTAAAGGTGGTGACAGCTTGGAACATCAAGGAGAGATTCTTATGAAAGAACACAAACTATTCCTGGACCTGAGATCCTTTTAGAAACGGCTGTCCTTCAACAAACTGGATCATCCTCTTAAAGGATGTTCCCCTAAAGCACCTGTGGGGTGACCGCTGCACCCTCAGTCCTTGCTCCATTGGCTGGGTACTCATGACATGCTCACCTGTTTCACGTGCCTGGCTTCATCAACTCCTCCCCAAGTCCCTCAGACATCGGTATTGCTATTATCCCCATTTTACAGCCGAGGAAACTGAGGCACAAGGAGGTCACATGCCTTCCTCACAAAAACAGCTATGCGAGAACTAGGATTTGAATGTGTTGGATTTTTCTGCCAAGCTCTTTTTATCACACGACACTGCAGGGCTCCCAGACTGAACTGCCCGCAGGGGCAGGGGCAGGGGCAAGCAGCACACAGGGGAAGGCAGGCGGCGAGGCGGCGGTGGGGACTGTGGCCAATTGGAGGAGGGGGGACCCCTCCTCAGCTCCAGCTGCCAGCTGCTATGTGGGATCATAGATTCTGTTCCCAGATCTTCTCATTTTCTGAAAAGATGCCCAAAATCTGGATCTTTATGTGAAATCTCCCAATTATACATTTTGGCTCGAGTGATCTTTTAAAACGTGACGCTCTCCCAACAAAACAGCTCTTCGGCCCACCATGATATGACCTTTGCAGAGAATGCCAAGGGCATGGCCACACGGGGAGGGGCCAGCCTAGTGGTCGTCCTGTCTGCCACTGACACTCTGGGATCCAGCCACTGGTGCCTCCCAGACTTTTCTACTCTGGGCTGAGGTCCAAAAGGAACCTCGTACAGACATGTAGGTCCTCTGCCTGTGACATCAGTCCCGTGGTTTGACGGTCAGTTTAGAATTTTTCCAGTATGCTCTCAAGACTCTTTCCACTCCCACCACACTCCTGTCAGTCTTGGCATCTCCAAACCCCCACCACCCAGATACTGGCTTCATTTCTTCATGGGTGTCTTTCCTATATGTGATGGCTAAAGATGACAAGAGGACATTACAGACCGGTGGCTCATGAATCCGTTGACTTATTTTAGTCTTTAGGAGTGGTAACAGTTTTGCAGGGAACCCTTCACACTCTTGCACAGCCTGATTTAAATATAAGCAAGGTGGCGGGAGAGCTGTCTGCTAATCACCAGCTTGCTGCTGTGGGAGAGGCGTGTGGCTTTGGCCCTAGGGCTACAGATGCCGAGTGAAGTCTAGCCTCCCGGCTTCCTGAGGAAAGATTTGAAAAAAGAGGGAATGGACATCCAGTAACAACTACTGGCTTGAGACTTTACCGTTGGTGAAATGCTTTAACGCATAGTCTCTCATTTAACTTTGACCACAATCCCCTCCATTGTACAGATGAGAAAACTGGCTCCAATGGGCTGAGGGCCTGCTTGAGTTCACACAGACAGGTGGGCGATCAAAACCAACATCCATATTCTTTGGCACGGTGCTTCCTTCCCAGGAATTTATCCCAAGGAAATAACCAAGGATGGACCCCCAAATTTATGTTTTAGAATTTTCACCGCAGTGTTCATCTTAAGAATAAAATATTAGACACCATGTCCAATCATGGGGGACTAGCTCAATAAATTTCAAGTTTATACATAGGACAATTACATAGCCATCTTATTTCCCTCGGAAATACTGGGCTGTTGTTCAGCCTTCAACCTCTGAATTCTCTTTTCCAGGAAGACAATTTCTGATGGCTCTACCGATACCTTGGTAGAAATGAAACAAAACAGGCCATCTCCATGTCTACTCCACATTAACTGCCACTCTCCCGAGCCCCCTTACTTTCCAACTGAGCCGGCACGACTAAGCGCTGGGCTCTGACCTTTGCCCAAAGGGCTTTTCTTTGGACATTTCAGGTCTCTGCACCTGAGAGTGTTTCTTTAGTCTTAACCGTAATATTATAAAACCAAAAATCGTGCGCCTGAAAGTCTTAAGCACTCTTTCATTCGGCAAACACACGCAAGTGCCTGTGTTGTGCCAGCCACACAGAAAGCCCTGGAAAGACAAAGATGAATGAGACACAGCCTCAGTCTTCATGGGTGATGCAACTGAAGGGCAGCCATCATGGAGCCAGCCCTCCACCGAAAGGTTATCTCACTTCACTCGTTTCCAGAGACCTTTTTCTAACTGCCCTGAATCTAGCGTCCAGCAGAGCAGAGGGCATGGAACTTCAAAACCTGAGGCTGAGTCCTGGCTCTGCCACTTACTAGCTGTGGGATCCTGAGTTTTCAGTTTTTCCGTCTGTAAAATGGGGCCCCAAACCACACTTGTTTCACAAGGCTGTTGGAGAACTCAGTGGGATAGGGCATGAAAATATTTTCTCAACATCTGAAGCCCTGTGTCCTCCTAGTCATTTATTACGTGCCTGCCCACAGTTCACCGGCTTAGCAAATAAGATGTAAAGCCACATTAGTGTACTTGTTAATCTGCTGCCCTGCCCACAAAACATGGGTATTTAAAAAGGGATGGAAGAGGCGCCTGGGTGGCTCAGTCGGTTAAGTGTCTGACTCTGGATTTTGGCTCAGGTCATGATCTCACAGTTTGTGAGATCGAGCCCTGTGTCATCTCTGCACTGACAGCATGGAGGCTGCCTGGGATTCTCTCTCTCCCTCTCTCTATGCCCGGCCCCCCTTGCTCATGCTCTCTCAATAAATAACTACTTTTTAAAAGTAAAAAAAAAAAAAAAAAAAAGGGATGGAAGAAAGCCTCCTGGAAACAGGGCATGTGGATCTCACAGAACCTCAAAGGCAGTTGAGAGAAAGTTCTTCTGGACAGGCACAACCTATTTGTATTTTTAAAGTGCTACTATGCCAGTGGTCCCCTACCCCACCAAGGAAAAGTGTGATTTGGCTCTCTCAGCCCCAAGATCGCTAAAACCTGATACACCACTCCCCCCAACACACGTACACAATGCTTACCTTGGGCAGGTCTGTGGCTCCTCGGATCCGCTGGGCCACCTTCTCTCCATCGGGGTGGATCTTGGCCACGTGCTTCCACATCCTTTCCCAGGTGGCTTCGTCCACAGGCAGCCCACCCCGGTTGACAAAGAAGGGGACGCCTCCGTCTCGCAGGTCCTCTTCCCCTTCCTCCTCTGGCTCATCATCTCTCTGGGCTGAGGCCCCTTCACTGGTCTCCAGGCGTCTGACCCCAGAGGGGGCTGCAGCGGCAGTGGGGGCAGCACCGCTGCTGCCACCCCCGACCACCTTCTTCCCCCCTGGCATCCCCGAATCCTTGATGGGGGTAGGAGTATGTATCAGGAGGCAGGAAAAAATAGGTGGCTCACAGGAGGCCTCCCACACACCAGCTGCAGAGATAACACATGGCCAAACAGAGGGCAAGGCGCCTTTAAGAAACCAGGGCGTGGCTCCTGTACAATAAAATACTACTCAATAAGAAAAAAAAAATCAGTGCCTCAACGTGAAGTAGGGGGTAGAGAGGTGGCGGTCCGGGGTCAGCCTTAAAGGCTTTGTTCTTTTTGTAAAACGGGATAAAGAGAACACACCCCAACTTGGCAGCCATCACAAAGCTCCCCCATTTGACAGCGAGAACAATGACGGGCAGCAGTCTGGGCTTGCAGAGTAAAGTCGGAGGGAAACTGAGGCCAGACAGCTCACACCTGCGGCCACAGAGGGTCAAGGCACCGGGTACAGGCCAACCGGGTGCCCCAAGTCGTAGTTTTGGAGAACAATTTCGTCTCCAAAATCTCGCACGCTCACAGCAGCGCGCGCTCCGGGGGGTACCGAGAGGACTCCGCGCCGCATCAGCTCGGAGCCAGGACCCCCGGACAAGAGGGTGACGAGGGGGCGCGATTTCTCTGACGCGACGAGCCTGGGAGCCAAGACTCACAGCTGGCTGGGCGCTGGGAGGGGGCGCACGCCGACGCGCTCATTCCACGCCCGCGGCCAACTCCCCGCACAAAGTGGGCTTTGTCTCGGCCCCCGTCCCCTCGCCCCCGGGAAGCAGCAGCTCAGCTCCCAGAAGGGGGAAGGGCGCGGAGGGGGGGGCGCCAAGGCCCAGCCGGTCCCGAGCCGGGCGCGTCTCAGCGGGCGGACAGCGGGCACCCGGCGCCGCGCAGCGCCAGCCGAGCCATCGCGGGGCGCGGGTCCCGCTCCGGGGCCGGGGGCTCAGCGGGGCCGACTCGGGCGGCGCGCAGGGGCCAGGCTGAGGTCACCGAGCGGCGGGCTCCGGCTGCGCGGTCGCAGCCTCCGAGTGGCTGCGGCATGGGCGGTGGCGCGGCCGGGCCGGGCGAAGGATGCTCCGCGGCGGTCCTCTCGCGCTCCGGCTGCCCGGGCTGAGTGGGAGGAGGAAGGACCGCCGGACGGGGAGGGAGAGCTCGGAGGCTCGCGCGGCCACAGCCCGCGGAGGGAGCTGGAGGCGAGTGACAAAGCCTCGGCAAGCGCGGGCTGCGCTAGTCCCGCCGAGCGGGAGGTCCACGCTGAGCTGCTCCGCGAAGCTCAGGCCGCCGCCTCCGCCGCCCCAGGGCCCAGCTGCCGCCAGCCGCGCGCGTCCCCTGCCCGCCGGCCGCCCACCCGGCTCGACTTCGGCCGGCGCCGCGCATGCGCTCCGTCCCCCCCTTAAAGGGCCAGCGCGTTCCCGGCGGGCCCTCCGCCTTCCGCCGCCAGCCCTGCGCCCCAAGTTATCTCTAGGATGCAGGGTGTCGTCCGCGCCGCTCTCACCTCTCTCCCAGGGCGCGGCGAAGCCGGAGACGAGCTGCGGAGGAAGCTCACAACGTGCCACACGGAGCTCAAACTGCGTGGAGATTCCGGCCTCGGGAGGCCCGCGGTCGGGAATTTCCGAAAGGAAGCACCTCGCAGGGGCCCTCAGGGGGTAGAAGTGAGAGTTCTGGCCTGGAGGACCCGGTCTCATTTCCTGCGGGACATCCTACAGGTCGCTTCCCTCCATGGGCCTCAGTTTCCCCATCTGGCAGCCGAGCTCGTCACACCGGGTGAGCGCAGAGCCCTGGCGTGCGGGTTCCTTAACGGAGGCCATCTGGGGGTTAGTGTCACGACTTCTGGAAGCGAAAGGGTTAAAAGCCACCCTGTTGCACCCCAAGACCTGCATCAGTGGGAGCGGGGTGCGCGGGGTTCGCCCCCTCGTCGACCTCCCCGGACCTGGCGATGGGCGCCCCTGCGCCCCCCTGCAGGGGGGTTGCCGCGCCCGGGGTCTTGGGACGGCGACCCATGCGTGAAGTGAGTTGACAGTCGGTAGGGTCCTGCCGGCCCAGAGGAAGGGGACACCACAGCCCATTGCTGTGTGCGGGCCCGGGACGGTGGAGACCCAAGACACGCTTCTCCTCCCCCCCCCCCCCCCCCCGCCCCCGGCGCCCCCCAACAGAGCAGCAGAGCGGAGAGGAAAAGGCGCAAAGGGGGAGCAGAAGGAAAGAATTCACTGAAAGACAGCCATGTGCGCTTTAAGACCTCTCCTGTCTCCCACCAGGAGTTAGTATGAATGGCAAAGCAGCTTCCTGGGCCCTGGCCCGCCTGCCCGCAGATTCAGATTGCTTAGGTCTCCGAGTCTGCTGCATTTCTCACCGTGCCCCTTTCCGCCAAGCTGAAGTTTCCACACCTGGGCTGGGACAGAGAAGGCCTTGGGGAACGCGGAGGTGGTCAGTGGTTCCCCGTCTGTTTTCTCTAAAGTCCCCGGTGTCTGAATTTCCTAGGTCCCCTCCGGTAGCTCCCTCTTCCTGCCTCCAGGGTCAGCAACCAAGGGTGATGAGTGATGGGAAGGGTCACAGGACTTCGAGAAAGCTCGTAAACCGGAGTTCCTCTTAGCTTACAGAGGCTGGAAGACCCCAAGCATGTGAAACCACCAGGGACCAACAACTGTAACCTACTCATCCTCTAGATGGGGAGATTGAGTCTCAGAGAGTGACTTCCTCAAACCCACGCAGCTAACAATTGCAACTGACGCTTCACTTTTTCAGACACTTACCGTTCGCCCTGCACTTTGCCACTCTTGCTAGCTAAGTTGTGGTAGTTTAAAAATATTTGCCAAGTTCTTTACTGCTTCTCCTTTCAACAGATGTTGTCTAGGGGCACCTGGGTGGTTCAGTCCGTTGAGCGTCCAACTTCGGCTTAGGTCATAATCTCAGGGTTTGTGGATTCAAGCCCTGCATCAGGCTCGCTGCTGTCAGCGAGGAGAGCACTTCGGATCCTCTGGCCCCCTCCCTGTATGTGCCACCCCCGCTCTCTCTCTCAAAAAATGAATAAACATTAAAAAAAAACCCAAAAGATGTTGTCTTAATTCCTCTCCCCTGACTGCTGGCTGGACTTGGCAACCGGCTTCTAATGAACACAACATGGTGGGGGTGATGCTATATAGCTCTTAAGCCTAAGTATAGAAAGGAGACATTTCTCTTGTCTCTTTCTTGCTTTCTCAGTACAGGCACGCTTGAAACCAGCCACCATGCTGTGAGGAAGCCCAAGCCCTGCGGAGAGATGACGTGACGTGTTCTGGCTGACGTCTCCAGTTAGGGCTCTCAGTTCACAACCAGCATCACTCAGATAGGTGATGACCTGACATCATCCCAGCTGCCAGCCTCTGAGTCTTCTAGCCAAAGCCCCAGACGTGGAGCAGAGACAAGCCAACCTTGCCGTGCCCTGTCTGAATTTCTCTCCCACAGAAACTGAGAGATAAGAAGCGATCATTATTGTTTTAAGCCAGTAAGTTTTGGGGTACTTTGTTATGCGGCATTAGATAATTAATTCTGTGAAATGACATTTCCTGAAATGACAAATAATACAGTAGATTTGGGGTATTTATTCAAACATGCCAACAGTGAGTAGTTATTGAGCACCTTCTATGAGCCTGGCTCTGTACTAGGCACTGGGGATACAGTGGTCAACAAGAGGAACGTGGTCTTTGCCCTGGTAAGGCTTATGGTCTACTACTGGAGGAGATGGTTAAACATGATTCTAATAAAGTGCTTTGCCAGAGTCTTAGACCAGGAAGCTATGGGAGTGCATACTCAGGGCAACTTGGTCAGTTAAGTGGGTTGCTGGGGAAGGAGGAAATGAGTTGAGCACAAGGCCAGCATGGTCTAGCCGAGAGAGGTTTCTGGGATATATTCGTAGAAGGGGGAGGGGACAGGTGTTCAGGCAGGGTGGAAGGGCATACAGATAGATTAGAAAATGGTGAAACCAGAAAGGGATGTGTCTTACTCAATCTCATTTTAGCCGAAAATCACTAGGGTCACAGAGTTTGTGAACTGGGGTGCAGATCTTGGGTCCCCTCCCACAGGGGGAGGGGATCAAACCCTCCCACAATCCCGCATAACTATACCCAGGGAACAACATCTCTAATGACACTTGGGTCACTCCTCATTTGGCTCAAAGCTCTTCTGACTAATATCTCTTTTGCTGTCTTCACAAAGACAATTTCTGGAAGAAATTAAGAATGAGTTAATTTCCATTTTACACAGGAAGAAATGATGCACAGGGAGGCTGGGCAACTTACCTACCTAGTTTAGGGGCTGGCGTGTCAGGGCTTCTAGCTACTGATGATGTACTTGGATGATGACAGGGATGATGATGATAATGACACCTAGGTCACATCATATCTCGCTTGTTATTGTCACACTTGGGATTAATGTTCTGGAAACGAATATGCAGTGTCTTGGGGAATCAACGTTGGTATCAATCTGCTCTAATTCATTTTCTTGCGACACTGAAGCTAGAGTCAAATTCCTGGAGAGGAGAGTCTGGTTGACTGAGCTTGGGTTCTGGGCCCACCCTTTGGCTGGAAAAGGCCAGAGCAACTTCATTAGCTGCTCCCAAAAGACCTCAGGCAGTGGGGGCAGAGGAATGCCCTAAATGAAAATAGGGCACTGGTAGCAGAAGAAGGGCATAGAGGGGCACACTATAGGTATGTTTCTGAAAGGCAGACTGTATGTATGCATGTCTGCACTGCCCAATATGGTGGCTAGAGGTCACACATGGCTATTTACTTAACATTACATAACATAAAAAATTCAGTTTCTTCATCACACTAGCCACATTTCAAGTGCTCGATAGCCATATGGGACTTGTGGCTACTGTGCTGAACAGCACAGATTATAGAACATTTCCAGCATTGCAGAACTCTCTATTGGAGAGCACTGTTCTAGAATTCTTATTTGCAGTTCAACTGTTTCTTTTTTTTTTTTTCTTTTACCTCATACATTGTAAATAGGGACATAGCAAAAAAAGGTGAATCCGAATTGTCACTAACTTATTCATCAACCGTGTACTAAGCGTCTCCTGTGAATCATACATTGTTGTTGGCACCAGGATGCCAGAGAGGGACCTTGGAGATCTCCTGGTCTAGGGGGTCTCACATTAGAATCATCCAGAGAGCTCTTAGAAGTACTGATATCCAGGCTCCACCCAGCAGAGACTCTGGTGACAGGGGTCTGGGAAGGGGCTGGCTGACCATAAGATGGAAGAGCTCCCCAGGTGGTTCTCAGGTATAGCTGGACCTGCAAACCAGTACAGTCTGGTCTGGCTAGGGAAGTGATTTGCTTCAGACAACCCCAAAACCGAATCTGGGTGTGTCTGCCCTCGGGGTTCTCGTGACAACAGCAGGCCTCTCCATGGACGCGGCGTCCATCCGATCAAGTGCAACATTCTTAGAGAAGAGCAAGTCAGCTAGCTCTTCCTTAATCCAGAGAGAAGCCAGTTCACTTCAAGGAAAGTGCCGGGGCGCCTGGGTGGCGCAGTCGGTTAAGCGTCCGACTTCAGCCAGGTCATGATCTCGCGGTCCGGGAGTTCGAGCCCCGCGTCAGGCTCTGGGCTGATGGCTCGGAGCCTGGAGCCTGTTTCCGATTCTGTGTCTCCCTCTCTCTCTCTGCCCCTCCCCCGTTCATGCTCTGTCTCTCTCTGTCCCAAAAATAAATAAACGTTGGAAAGTGCCAAGAGAACTTCTGGTGTTAAATCACCTCTTTCTCAAACTGTGCTTGTTTCGTGCCTGGAACTGCGTTATTCAGCAAGTTGGTGAATTCCCTGTAAAAAGAATGCCTGTTGTGAGCACCTAGTGCAGGTCAGGCCCTTCACATGCTGTTTCATTTAATCCCCAGGACACCCTTACAGAGTGAGTTTTGCTGACACCAGTTTATTGACGAGCACGCTGAGATGCAAGGAGGTTAAGGATTATAATTTGTCCAAGTCAGTACAGCTGGGACTCCAAGTCCAGATCCCATATTCTTTCCCCTTCGCCGCCCAGCACCTACCCCGTAGCCCAGAGTGCAGGGAAGCTGGCAGGCGGTGGCATTGTGCTCCATCCACACAGTGAAGAAAGCTCTGTGGAGGTGAGTGGAGGTGACATGAGGTGCTCTGTGTGTCAGAGGACACCCCGGAGCTGATAGGACCCGAACAGGGAGAGTACTGGGCGTCTGGAGGGAAGGGGGGTTCAGGGATAAAACAGACGAGGGGATTTGGAGCAGAGTTCTCTTTCCCTTAATGGTTGTATCTAGTTCCCTTTTACTAAGGGATGTGGAGGAAGCAGCTAAGAACAGTGTTGTACCCGGGACAGTCAGCTCTTAGACACCTAGCTGTCGTGATACATGCTTGGTATAAGCATTATCTATTTTTGGCCTGGATCCCTGTGAGCTGGCAAAGTGTCTGTGTTACCACGTTATCTTTGCATCTGAGTCCCTGCCTGATACTTCCTGGGCAGCCTGGCCTGGCCTCAGGGGGCTGTGAAGGGACAGGATTCATTGTGTCCATTGCAAAGGACTTCAACAGTGGGGGAGCTGTGTCTCCCCTGCCATTCTCTGCGGGCTACCTCCTGTAGTCATAGGAGAGCCTGGCCTGGGAGAACAGTAAGGGCTGCACTTGCGATGGCTCAGGACATGTCTGCATGGCATTCAGCGCGTCTCTGTGGGAGACATGCCATGACTGGCCGTAGAAAGAGCACAGAATACCACAGTCCGAAAGCCCCTTAGAGAGCGTTCCGGGTTTCATTTCACAGGTGGGAAACTGAGGCTTAGTGAGCCAGCAGGACTTTGAATTACAGCCAGTTAGAGGTAGGGATTGCATTTGCAGTCAGGTCTCCCTCCTGGCCCCGTATACCTTTCCTGATGTCTTCTCTATCAGGGGAAATGGGGTCGTAGAGGAGCGTCTGAAAACTTTGCAGTGGCAGGAGGTAGAGACGGTATTTTCACGTTTGCCTCAGGGTGTGGCCGAGCGGGCGAGGCCGGCGTGTGTCAGTAGCTGGGTGGGGACTGGGTGTGGATCTGAAGGACTGGAGGATGACTTCTCTCATTTTCCAGGCAAATCATACTCCTCCAGACTTGCACCCCTCCTGGTGCAAAGGAAACTGGCCTTTCCTTTGACTTTCTTCTCCATGCACTATAGCAGGTGTTTGGCTAGTAGCAAGTTATGGAGTTGGTCAGTTAGGAAGAGCGGGGCTGCAGTAGCCATTCCCATGCAGTGGCCAAGACTCTGGTCCCAGAAAGAATCAAAAGGCCAGTTTCAGCCTGCCTGCTCACCAAGGGACTGAGACTTGGTGACAGGGAGAAACAAGAGGCTGAGATGTTTGTGTATCCTGAAGACTCAATCAAAATCGTGTGAAGTTTGGGAAAGTCGGTCCGTGAGATGGGCCGGGTTTATTTCTTAATCCTTAGCTTCCAGGGAAGACTTCACTTTCGTTCCACTATTTCTGAGCGCCTACTGTGTGTGTGGCAGAGCCTAAGATGCTGCAGGTGAAGCGGGCATATCTGCAGGACATAACTTGGCCTTCTGGGTTGTATCTAGTGAGACAGACACATCCCTGTAACTTGTTGAGAACTTACCATGTGTCAGGGGTTCTACACAGAGTTCTATGTAATCCTTCCCATACGCTTGCAAATATGGATTCTAATTTCCATTTTTTTGAATGAGGAAATGGTCTCAAAGAAGCTGAGTGACTGTTTCTGGGCTTTAGCCGGGGGTGGCTGAGCCAGGAGGCAGAGCCCATGTCCTCTCTGCTGTAGCAGGAGGCCACCAGATGTAACTAGGGTACCTGGCAGAGTCAGGCCAGTGCCCCAGCACAAGCTCAAACAAGGTGTTTGGAGAGTATAGAGGAGGGAGAGGTTTGTTTTAATTGGGGCAACAATGTTTGGCTTTATGCACTACTGGTATTTGGGGCTGCATAATTCCTCATTGTGGGGCCTCCCCTGTGCTCGGTAGGATGTTTAACAGCATCTGGAGCCTCTACCCACCAGATCCGTGTTACAAGTCCCCCGTTATGACGCCTGGTGTAGAATCACAGGTTTTGGGAAAGAAGTGGTCTTCCACGTGGGCCTATGAGAATCTTGTAGATAGGACAAGGATGTTGGCAACCGAAGGAAGGAGGAAAGCATTCGTTTGTTTAGTGTTTTTCCACTTGACAAAGAGTTTCCATTTAGATTTTCCACTTTGGTCTTCCCACTGGCCCTGTGGCTTGCTTGTGTCAGCATACAAAGCAAGCAGCCAAGTGAAGTTGCCCTGGGACCGCAGTGTGTGATGGGGCCCCTCATGGATTGCAAGCTTTCTCTGTGACCAGGGCCTTCCTGGCCTCTGTTCAGCCTGTAGTTAATGCCTGCTTTTCATCTTCCGGCCCTTAGTTGCTTTCCAGGGAGCTTTTAGGGAATCTGTTTCCTCATCAACCACCACCACCACCACCTCCACCAAGTACAAACACTCATCCGGCACTCATTTGGCCTGTG